CCATTAAAAACAGATATATAAAACGATTTCGCGGGCCGGATATAATTGTATGGCGGGCCGGATGTGGCCCGCGGGCCTTGAGTTTGACACATGTGGTTTAGTGATTTTTTTAGGTGTTAAAATTTTAAGATGATTTCGGTTTGCTGCCATTTACAAATCCAAATAAGATGAAACTAGCTGTCAGACCTGCATAACAGAGAGTGTTAGACCTGCAACAAAGGTACTAATCAATGTCAGCAGCTTTCACTGGAAATAAATTGTACATGTTAATTTTTTGTGAAGCTTCAAATGTTGAACAGCTTTCAAGAAATAGTTTTGAGTCGGTTTCATAATGGATAGAAATGGTTGCAGTAGTACCATGTGGGATGAGAGAAAATTTACTAAAATAAATTATTAATACTAAAATTAATTTTCCCCTCATTATTTTTCTTTCTAGGAACCTGCATATTTTCCACAAACCAAATACATATGCTTACAGTTATCAGAAAGCCGATTTTAAGGTACATGCATGCATCACATTATTGATTTCACCTTTATTTTATTGAGAGAGCCTACATCCTGATAATTCATAAATCCTAAATATTAGTGCTAACCCATGAAGAACAACTATTACAGACAAAATAATAATGTGAAAATAATATATATGGAAATACTTAAGGCTACAGTGGTCATCATTAAAAGTCAACATGTTGCTGACACTTATGCTGCAATATTTCCCTTCCTTTGAAATCAGAAATGACAGTGGTACCACAGATTACTGTTTGGCAATGGCTGAAAAAATGCACACTGTTGGAGGTAGCAAAAAGATTTCAGGTTACACTATAGAATACAGTGTGCCAGATCCTCAACTCCACTTAAGTTGCAAGGCAAAGGTGACTTAAATTTGCCTTGAGGCAACAGCAGAGATGCCTCTCAAGAGCATCCCAGACTGATTCAATCTCTGAGAGCCCCAAGATTGGGAGGGCAGAAATATAGCCTCCCATCCCTTGACTCTTTAGGTGTGCTAAGAGCTGCTCTGGTGCACTTGAGAATCTATTCCAGTGATTGGAATTACATTTTACATATATTGCAATTACAATGTAAAAATACTGTAGCAATGTTTTAGATACCTACAGTTAACTAATAAATTAATGTAACTGGAAGATTAAACATGTCTGAATGTGTTGCTCCTTTAGTTTCATATTTAGTACATTAATACCCTGTAATTGCTGTGCAGTTAAACTTTGTCATGAATAGACCTAGTACAAAATCCTGTACCCAGAAATTATCTATATGGGTTATATTCCATAACTGCAGCATATCTTCAGTGTCACTAGTCTCACTGTTATAAAGTGTAACCAGATCATAGGTCAGTTTTCCTGACCTATGATCTGCTTTGAATATGCAACTTCGTGCAACTGAAAACATGCTCTATTTTCTAAAATGTAGTCAACACAATCCTAGCTGTGTGCTAGGATGGCAAAGTATATTCTTTAGAACCCTTTACTCTGGTACCATAATATCTTATTAGACACAGGTAAATCAAATATTCATGCCATCTCGCAAATTAAATATCAGCCATATGGGATAACACTTTTGTACTGTAATTTCATAGATTTATAGATTTTAAGGTCAAAAGGGACCATTACATCATCTAGTCTGATGTCCTATATATAATAGGCCATTAAATTTCACCCAGTTGCCCCTGTATTGACCCCAATACCTTGTGTTTGGGGTAAAACATATCTTCATGAAGTGCATCTAGCCTTGATCTCAGTATCAAATTGCTAATATTTACAGTTATGGCTATGAGAAACACTCCAATTTAAGAAAAACGAAAGACACAATGAAATTAAGTTTAAATTGGAGTATTTTATAGGAATGGTGCAGTACACATTGCTGTTTCTGATGTTTCTGTTGTAAATAAAATGCTGCCATATTTTATGATTTTTGCAAAGTAGATATCATAATGATGCAGAATAAATTGTATGCTACAAGCTACAAATCAAGAATATTCATGATGCTGTATATCTTACAAGTTTGTTTGAATTGATTAGAGTTGGCAAATTGTAGAACAATATCCCAGCTGCTTCATATCATAATGATATTTTAAAAGGTAACTACGTTGGTCCCTTATTATAACTGTTGGATTAAATACTAATAGGTAAGCAGGGTTTAATTAAATTGGTGGTGCACAGGGAAGATGTGCATAAGATGTAGGTACATTTTCTATTAAAGAAACTATTTTTTCTCTAATCTGTGGAATGAAAGATTAATATTAGTAGGTAAATGAAACTTGAAGCTCTGTCAGAAGCACTGGTAAAAATTAACTGCTTGTTTTACATATGTACATTGAGTCACAAAGTTTGAACTTTAAATCAAAAATTGTAAAAGACTAATTCAACAGAAATTAAACATGAATGCCCTTTTCCACCTGCAGTTTACAGATGATCGAGTCTTCTATTATTTATTTGTGGACAGTTTGAAGCCTATTGAAATCCTGGTTAGTTTTTCTGCATTAGTACGCTGGGGAGATTCTGGAGGTAAGATCCATACAAAGAAAAAAGTGTTTTAATATTGATTGTTCTCAACTGCTATAGACTCTTTTATCTTAACTGTCTTCTTTTGAAACATGCTTTTTCTTTTTTTTGGTCTTGTATGGAGCAGGTGACACTCAGTGCCTAGATGGTTTAATGAAAACTGCAATATTCCCTTTGGATATTTTAGAGTTCTCTCTCCTGCAGTATTGACACATGCTGTGTCCATAGCATCGTGATGAATTATAAGTCACAAGAGATCTGCTTAGCAAGATGTGTTCACCTGCACGGTAATTTGGCAGGCTTTAAACAGAGCAAGTTGACTTCAGGAAATGATCTGGCTGTGCCACAGTGGTGCTTTTGTATTGCTCCACACTGAAAACACTTTTTTTCGCGTCCTTTTTATGAACAATGCCTCTTAAGGAGTTGTTTATGATGTTTAATCATTTGCTATTCACTTTTTGTCCATATCTTTCTAGTATGGATTTCCTTTCATTTCCTGTGTCATTTCTGTCTGGTTTTCTCTTCTTGCAAACTGTTCTATCTTTTGGCTGGTCTACATGCAATAATTGCACTGATTTAACTAAAATTGATGCAAATCCCTGTTTGGACACTCTTGAATCTGTTTACAGCAGACTCATCTTGATACCCTAGGGTTCTGCCTAGGATAAATCACAAATGTCTGTGAAATATCTAGATTAATATTTTTAAAGATGTTAGTTAAGTTAATTAGAAGTCAACTTGAGTTAAACCTTAGTCTAGACATACCTTGAGTGCATGTAAGTTACATGCCAAGGAGCCAAAAGAAGATGTAATTACACCTATGTGTTAGACCCTATTACACAGGTCCAGGTAGTTCTGTGGCAGTCTAAGGTTATGTCTATACTTTGAGCTGGTGGTGTAAATTCCAGCTCAAGGAGATGTACCTGCACTAACACTGAGCAAGCTAGGTCACTAAAAATAATGTGTAGCAACGGTGACAGGAGGGGCTAGCTACCCCAAGTATGAGCCCATTTGAGATGCTAGGTACATACTTGGGGAAGCTAGAACCTGCTCCTCCTCATGATACTGTGGCTACAATCTATTTTTAGCATTCTGACTCAGAGTTAGCACTCGTGTAGCTCTTTGAGCAGGAATTTACACTCAAAGTGTAAATGTGCAAAGAGATCTAATTTATATCTCCTCCTAACACATCACTTCTGAATAAGGCCCTCAGAGTAGAGTGTATACATAACCCCTGTTCCGTGCTATCTTTGTACACTGGTTAAGAATATAAGAACGATCATACTGGGTCAGACCAATGGTCCATCTAGCCCAGTATCCTGTCTTCCGACAGTGGCCAATGCCAGGTGCTTCAGAGGGAATGAACAGAACAGGTAATCATTAAGTGATCCATCCTGTGTCACCCATTCCCAGCTTCTGGCAAACAGAGGCTAGGGACACTTCAGAACATGGTTTTGCATCCCAGCCTGTCCTGGCTAATAGCCACTGATGGACCTATCCTCCATGAACTTATTTAGTTCTTTTTTGAACCCGATTAACTTAAAAAACTGCTGTATTTCTCCCAGAGCTACCATTAAGGGTAGGCAACATCTGTGGCTGACTAGGGCACTTAGCTGGTGGAGGCACCACTGGCATATATCAACTTACAAATAGTCCCTTTATTTTTTTATGGGCTTTGATGACCAAAATGTGATCCTGAATTCTGCTTCATGATAAAATTTTATCAATTCTCTAACTTTATTTTTCTAATTATTTTTCTTACAGCGACACAAAAAGAAGGTTCTGGTATACCACAGGGCATGCTTACGGTTGAAAGTTTCTCTTGGAAAAGTGTGGCTACTGGACAACTTGTGCTAAAGATACATACATATGCAACCAAAGCTGCTATGCTAAACCTTCCCCCAGGGTGTGTACTAGTCCTTTTTTTTATTTCCCTCTAGCACTTAAAGACCTGCTGTTGCCTTAAGGATAGAATTTACATAACTGAATCTGGAATAGTTAATTATTTGCAAATATTTGAATGTTAAGTTTGCATAAAATGTATAGGATTTTTCCAAGTTTTGGTAAGATTGCAATATTTATTTGGATTTAAGAATAATTACTGAAGTTTTTAAAATTGTGTGTCAGTCTGTGAATCCCTTACTCTCTCTTTGTTGAGCAGTTATTCATATGAGTAGTTCCACTAGTTTTTCTAGAAAAAAACAACTGAAATACATTCTGTGTAGGCATGTTGTTTCTAAATAGAAGGCTTCAGAAATTTGGCGGAGGTATTAGCAGCTCTCTCCAACACTCATTTTCATTAAAACTTTTACTGAAGTATGATACTGTAGCCAGTATTGTAACTCTTCTTGAAATGGAATTTATGAAACATGAAAGGACATAAGTTCCCAAATAATCCAACTATACCTTTGCATAGTTCTTTAAAATTCCAATTTAAAATGATCCGGAAACCATGACATTGATGCTTTGTGGAATTCACTTCTCTTGGCATATAGCCCTAGATATCTGGTTTAAAGCAGTTCCTTGGCTGTAAAAATAAAGAAAAGACAACTCCATACCACCCCCTTCATCCTTAGATATCTACTAGTCTTTTAACATGTTTGAAATGAAAGAAACAATGTATGTATTGCCACAAGGTCTGAATTGCTGGATAATTCGAAGCTTTTGGTTCTCAAAAATAAAGAATTGCCAGTTTAGTTTGATATATATAACTATATCAAAAACTTACAATATTACAAAAAGTACCTATAAAACTTGAACAGAACAATATATATCTGTCATGTCCTATATGTCCATGCCAACAAACTATAAATGGAAATCAAAGAGGATTTCAAAGCAACAGAAAGGTAAACACAAAGACCTGTTATATATCAGGTATTAAGTCAACCAAGTTGAACACTTCTCCCTTTTTTCTCTAAGCTGATTTAAAATATTAAAATGGATTTCATTTGTGACAAATGGCAGTAAAACAAACTTCAGCTGGAAAAAAATATATACATCAGAATGCCTGATTGAACTGGCTTATGGACAGATTAATCAGCATCTGCATTCTTCTGAGCTGTGCAGTTTTTGAAAGTTGGAGAATCAAGTTCTGTGGGGGACTGCACTGTCGGAAATTTCAGCAGAAAAGTTAGCCTTATGCAGGACTCTAAATCAAAGAACAAATCTTTATATTTATCCAACTGCAAGTTTCAGAGCAACCTGAGAAGCAGGAATTTATTACAGATAAGCTCCCCACCCATGCCACTACATCTCTGATTCCCCATCCCTCCACAATTTGCAATCATGCTGGAAGGAATAATTAATTATGTAGAATTTACAACAGGTCAATCTCAGGCATGGGAGTAGAAGTTGGCTTAGGACTCACCCTGTGGAGCAGTTTCCATTTCATTAAAAAAGAAAAATTACTTGGGAATCCAAGTGGAAGCTTTCCTCCCACTGTCCACTTGATTGCTAGGAAGTGTTGTAGTCTTCCTCCCCAACCAGTGGCAATTAAAAAAAGCAAATTTTAAAATCTTTGGACGAAGTGGCTCTTCCCTTATTCTTCTTACCAGACCTTTGTTAAAGAGCTATTAACCAAAGAACCACTGTTCACAAGAGAAAGGAAAAATATGGTGTTGAGTGCCTGATCCTGTCTTGTATGAATACAAGAAAGAATTCTTCTTTCTTTCAAAATTGGAATTAACTGTAGTTCCCAAGGGGGCACACTGAACTGTAACTGATGAGGCTACTCTTAAATGGATTGGGCCTGTAATTATTACATAAAAGTGGTTTTATTCTAATCTGGTTTTATATTAAATTTTCTTATTCTTGCCCATGTCCTTATAGTAATTTTGATTAAGGTAGTGGATAACTAAGACACTTGACTCTTACTTTGGATTTTCCAGATCAGATTTATAAACTTAAATGTAGCCAGCTGTGGTTTTTGCTTTTAAATTCTTCTTATCATTATTTATTATTTGTTTCAATCAGTGTCCGGAAAACACCATACAAACCCAAAAGAAGGCACAGTTCCTGATCTAAAGAGTTTATACTCTATCCTTATGAAATACTACAGCAATATGTTATTCTGTGTTATAAAAACCACATGTAATCAAACTAAAGCAGAAAATAAATCTAAAACAGTGGCTTCTCAAATTACAACCTGTAATTATAACCTCACCAGTAGTTCAAGGAGCCTTTCCTCATGCTCTTTTCAATTACTTATTTGAGAACCAAGCAATTAGCAATTGAGAGTTAAAAGGAGAGGTGGGCCAGGAAAGAATTCCACTGTTGTGAAGTTGGTCCACTGAATGAAAAGGTTGAAGAACCACTGTTCTAAAAGAGTGCTTTTCTTTTTTATTGTATTTTATTTTTTATGTAGGCGACATGTGTTAATATTCACTGCAAGTTCCCCCATAGGGCACCATATCCATCTGTGTAGCATGGTGCCATGTGTGTTTGGTGAAGAGGATACTGTTATGCCAAATCTTGACAAGGTACATGTAACCATAACAACGCCTGCAATATTATTGCAAATCATTGACCACTGTTTACTGCAGACTGATCTAATTTTTCTCTTGAATTTTGAGTTTGGAGGATATGCAAAAAAATTCTGTGAGTTGTGCAGAAGGAGATTGTTTAAAAATCACTTTTCTTAGTATTGTCACACACAAAAATTTAAATCTTAATGTAAATAATGTCACATCCCTCTTTATAGTAGATTTTACTGAATAATGTAATATAAATTCCAAATATATATGGAAGCAAGGGAAACAGTTCTGAGATATTGGAAATGTGAGGGAGAGAGACAGATATGAAGCTGGGCATTATTATAGCTATGTGATGTAAATGTATAAGCAGGTATTGGATGTTGTTGTTTCACATAAAATAGCTAAAAAAATTCATTAATGTGCCAATATATAATTGGATATTAAAGAATGTAGTGGAAATATTTAAATTGGAGGTAGTGTATTGTCTTCCCTTTTGCAGCATGCGGCTCTGATAGTCATAAAATGCATGTAAAGATTATTAAGATAGGTTCAAAAATGCCTACTTAGTGATGCAAACTGTTGGTCAGATTAATGCATTTCCCCCCATATGGTTGCAAAATGAACAGTAGGCCCCAGAATAGCTTTTGTTCTTAAAATGAACTATTGATTCAAAGGGCTTTGTGATAGCTGTGATCAGAGGCCCTGGGGAGCAGTTAATGCTTTCTCGGAGCTGTTGGTTAGGTTGTCTGTAGATCCAGACAGATGTCTCTTTATTAGTTAAACTCACTCCATGTTTTCAAGGTTTCCTTTACAAATGATTGGGCCAGAGACTTTGGGATTTTTTTAAATGAAAGTGTAGATTCTCATAGACTCATAGACTCATAGACTTTAAGGTCAGAAGGGACCATTATGATCATCTGGTCTGACCCCCTGCATGCTGCAGGCCATAAAACCGTCCCTACCCCTTCCCTGGACTCTGCTGTTGAAGTCCCCAATCCTGTTTTTAGTGACTAAAATCGGCAGAGACCCTCCTGCTAGAGATCCCTGCCCCATGCTGCGGAGGAAGGCAACACATTTTTTAAAAGGGGAAATTTTGCAGCCATTTGCACTGCTGTATAATACATCTCTACCCCGATATAACTCTGTCCTCAGGAGCCAAAAAATCTTACCACATTATAGGTGAAACCGCATTATATCGAACTTGCTTTGATCCTTCCGAGTGCGCAGCCCTGCCCCTTGGGAGCACTGCTTTACCGCGTTATATCCGAATTCGTGTTATATCAGGTCGCGTTATACTGGGGTAGAAGTGTAATAGGATATTAAAGTAGCTTATGCAAGCTAGGATGGATATTTAGGAAGGTAGATTAAACCTGAGAACTTGATATGTTAAGAAAAAAAGAGAAACATTTTCAACTTGTTCCCCTTCTCTTTACAAAAGGGAGAATCTGTGGGTGGAACTTCCTTGGCCATAAAAACAATGTAAAACTGCCTCTACAGTTGCTTCCTGTGGTCTTCTTTCCACAGATTTTTGCAAGAGGAGCAGCTAGTCTCTAGAGTCTCACATAGCAATTCAGGTGAAGATTAATATTGCTATGTGCAGTATTCACTTTGACATGGTGTTCAACCAAATACAAATACTCCTCTAAGAATATATGGATGGGATTAACCAATATTATGTCACAATGTATATTTTAGCTAGGAGAAGCCTTCACTTATTCTTACTACAATATAAATATGCATCTTAATTTTGACTGAACATTCTACAGTGCTTGGTACAAAAGAAGTATAATCAATGCATAATATTTTTATATTCTTCATTATCTGATAAACTGATAGCATTTTCCTTCCACAAGCTAAAATGTTCTCTCTCCCCAGGAGAGCTACCGGTTTATAGAACAGGCTACAGTTATCCTGAAAGCTATTGGAAATGTGATTAATAATTTCAGCAGTGAGCCTGAACTTTCCAAGGCCCTGAAGGAGCTGGAACTAACTCACTTCCCTCACAGCCTCCATGGTACAGGATTAGCTAGAGAACACTTCAAGGTAACAGTTCTAATAATCTGCTTTTTCTAAAAGAGCTCACAATATAAAAGAGTGCATATGTTAACATTCATTCTCTTCTTCAAATAAGCTGCTATTATTATTATTATTAATTAGTATTAATTATTAGCCAAATTTTCAAAGGGGTCTCCAACTCTGCCTCTGATTTTGCACACATGGTTTGAAATCCATTATAACTTGCATGTGCAAATGATAGAGTTTACAAAAACAAATAGAAATTGCCTTTCCTTTATATATCCAAATGATAATATATGCAGAACTGCACATGCTAAAATCAGAGACCGTGTTTTGGCAGTTTGGCACTGCATGTTTCAAACATCAAAATTCATCAGCTTTTTGAGATCTAATTCAGCATATGAAAGCAAAGAGACTAACCGAAGTTCAGAAAACAATACACAGAATAATTCCGTACTGTGTCTAAGATTGATGTCTCAGGAAAAAATTGATTTAGCTTTTTGTTATTGAAGACAATAGTCAGATTATTTGCATAGTCACAACATTTCCCTGTTTTTTATTATTTATACTTTCCCTTAAATGTTGTATGCATGTATTTAACTATGCTAGGTCTTCCTTCAAAACATGAAATAATCATGCTTTTAACATAGAGCATCCTAATGTAATAGCAGCCTCTAGAGATAACAAAGTGATTACAACCAAAACCAGCAATATTACTGTTGACTATAATTGGTATTTAGCTACCCAGCCTAATAAATATTTTCCCTAAAATGTTTACAGTACTAGAGTAACTCTATCCTGATTTATTTTTTATTCAACACAACACTTTGTACATTGATTTCAACATGTGTGACTTGTATCCAGGTACAGAACAGCTGATAGAAATGATGATGCATATTTAATCAGTTGGATTACTCATTAGAAGTAGGTATTCAATTTTTTACAATCACTGATACAAAACAGAAAGAAGCCAGTCCAATTCACAGTAGTTGCATGTGAAATTGGTGTCAGATTCAAACGTCTCCAATGTTTAGGGGAGGAAGTCAGAATCAGTGTTTCAGTTCAGGTTCATCTCTGATATAAACACGTAGCCAAACGTTTTAATAACCCTTGTGCCATTTTATGATAAGGAATCCAAGTCCTATAGGAAGATATATGTTAGTCATCTCATAAGCAGATGTTTTAAATTTAAAATGAATATGGTACTACAGAGTAAGATGAAAGAGTATTTTCCCAGTTCTTGCTCCTGAAACTATCTAGGTCTCTAGAGAGAAGTGTTTGTCATATGTATTTGTGCAAAATGGGAGCTCAAACGCATAAGTTTTGAAATGGAAAAAACAAACATTTGTGGAATATTCTGTATAGAATATTAATGATCAAAGATATATATAAATCAGCTTTCTTGACAAAATAAACGGTTGTCTGATTTTTTTCCTCTTTTTAATTTTAGGTTTTCAATAATGCTTTTGGGCGTTTGATCCAACAAGTGTTAGGTAATAAGGTTCCTCCCAATTTTGAATTCGCTTTCAGATCCTTCACTTTGGATTTGAAAGCCAACGATGCTCCCGTGGAAGACAATGTATCTTCAGGTACTGTGCTGATATTAATCATTATATTCAGATTTGTCTGTCCATTTCTATTCAGGGGGAGCTGGTCACATACCCTATATTTAGATTGCCTAACATTTGCCATCATAGAAACCCTCAAACCCCCTATCTCGTTCAGTCTGCAGGCAGGATGCACAGGCAACTGTAATTCTGGCATTTCCTAACTTTCAAGTGGTTTATTTTGCAACCTAAGTAACTTTTTGGTGTGACTTTTATGCATATAGTTTGTATGTATATGGTCACATATTAAGCCAGAAATAGTGATAAGCTGAAAAAACTCTTGAGAATCTTTTAGGTGCAACCCAAAACATATGTTTCTTTCTTGTGGGCAAAATCTTGTTGGTTCAAAGACAAAGTTCACTATGCTCTGGCTAGAATCTGTATAGAATTTTGTGAGTACAATTATGTAGAAAGCCTCTTCAGATATTTCCTCTTGTCTAGAAGTCAAGACATGAGCTACAATAATCTTATCCACTTTCTAGACTGAGCTGGGCAAATGATGGGTTTTTGGTTCACTGGCAATTCCAAAAAATAAATATGAAAATCATTTTGGGGTGAACAAAATACATAGTTTGAAGTTTCTAAAATAAAATTAAAGGAAATTCTGAAACAAAAAGTCATCTTGAATAAAATATCAAAACGTTTCTTTTAAAAGAACCAAAGGTTCCCTAGCATGCTTGAAAGTAGTACTGTTTCAAACAGCATCACATTAAAGTACACCAGCAGGGTCTACATGTATAAATTAATAAACAACACGTTAGTGCACATTAAAAATCACACCCCCTCCATTGCCCCACTGTGTAAGACAACCCTTTAGCGTAAGAGTGAGTTTGTGACATGTGAGCTGGAACTAAGACCCATCAAACTGTTCTCATATAGAAGCCGCAAGCATCCTTTAGATGGGAACAACTTTTAATTCCTGTTGAAGGTGGCTGGCTTCAAACTGGTTATCTGCAGGTGAAAGGCTTTGTAGCCAATTAGCAGTGACCTAAAGCATTCAGCTCCCTACTCTGTTACACCATTTAGAATGTGGCTTACTTACTTGAAAGATAAGTTTGTTAAATAAAGTTCTAACATTTTTAGAGCTTACACAGGCAGAGACTTCCATATTCTCAACACACAGGCAAAAACCACCCACACATAGCTCTCCTGCAAACCCACTGTACAATCAAGAACCTTGTCCTGGTCTTAAAGGGACAGCTAGCATTAACAAAAGTACAAATAAGATAATCAGCATTAACACAATGTTCCAGTTTAGTTCTAGACACAGTGTTTTGCGATATAAAATCATTTCCATAATTACAGTTACTTCAGGGTACTCATACTAATTTAAGAGGAGACACTATAGATTTATTGGGTGAGATAACTGAGGTCTTCCACTCAACTCAGTGGCATTGACTGTCTGTGTTACCTCTGCTGTCCCAATGCTACTGCTCAGGCTCCTCTGCCTGTGGCACCAAATGGGCACAGTAAAGGGGAGGGTATTGAGTTGAAAATGATAAAACAACAAAGAGAAGAAGAGGAACAGCTTAAATGGTGTAGCAATAAAATTTAGGTTTAGTGGCAGTAGCCTGTAAAATTGCTATAGATTCAGGGATAGAGTCCATGTTCCTGCTCCTCCTACAACCTGCCAGCTCAGCCTACCAAAAATTATATATAAAAGGAAGGTTGCAAAGTCAAGTGTTCAAACTTTAGGAAATACCAGAAAAAATATAATCTTTGCAACCTTAACTCTGTCCTCTTTTGCATGTGAATGATGATATAGTCTTTAATTACTTAATCATATACTCTCCCCTCTCCCCCGCTCCCCCATTTGGGTGGTAAGCAGGGTTTGAGCCAGGACTTTTAGGTCTGTTGCAAGGACCTTGAGATAACAAAACCTGCTGGTAGTAGAAGTATACTGTTATCCTTTCTTTTGATCAGCCTCTGGCAGGGGCAGCAAGAACAACACAGTAGTTTGCCTGTGGGTTACACAACTATTTATGAGACCCAACATTTCACAGCAGTATCAGGATTCAACCGTTGACTGTGGGAGGTGAATATGGTCTAGGGGCTAAAGTAGTAGCTGCAGACGGGCTAGAGAGGCGCATATTCATTTTGAAAGACAGTGTACCTGAGTGGATAAGACAAGTTTCTGTCATATAGAGACCTGTCTGAAGTCGCCTTGTACTTTATTTGTTAGAGTGGTCTGCTTCCTGGGATAGGTATATGAAACCTTGCACAATAATAAGGGCTGTGATATATTAACAGTATTCAGTAGAAGAAGAGACCCATGGTCTCCTGACTCTAAACCCAGGGCATTGTTCCCTAAGCCAAATGGTGTTTGGCAGGGAAATCTTTCATTCTCTCCAGTTATGCCTGAGATTTTACCTGAGATGCAGGCAAGTGTGACTGGCGTCCCAAATATGAGAGTGAAACACAAGACTCGGATCAGTAACAGAATTCTTTGTGGGGAAATGTTTTTTATTATTATGGAGGTGAAAATTGTGCCTCTTGTTTCAGGGTGTCTGTAGAATGTGACATCACTCCATCAGTTTCTATTTGGTTAATATTTTGTAGGTTATTTTCCAGCTAGAACAAGAGACTTAAATTAAATTCTGTGACACAAGATGACGCCCATTATGGAGAAATACCAGCTTACCAAATCACTGTGAGCTGGACAGGTTTGACCCATGACATTAGCATAGTAGTTGCATGACAACATCGTGTAATTACACAATAAATATCTGTCCCCGTGTGGTATATCTTGATAACAGTGCTTTAACTTACATTGCTTCTTATATAGTAGAATTTATAACAGGATGATGGGATAGCATAAATGGAAGCTTTACGAGCAAATCAAGGCATTTCTGGAATATAGCTCACATAGTTGTTTAACTCTCAGTCAAGCAGTTGTAGTGCTTGTAGCCTTCACGTCACACCCTATTTATAGTACTGTTCATTCTTCTTTTTCTTTCAGAGGTGATAGAGCTAAATATTCCTGTTGCTTGGCAGAACAGAACTCCAACTTCTGAAGAAGAAGCTGCAGTGCTTAAACTGCAAAGCAATTGGAGAGGGACCTATATTAGGCAATTGATAAATGGCAGAAAACCAGGTAGGCCTTTTAAATCTTATTTTAAGTGTTTAGTGTTTCACCATATTATTTTATCTGTGCTACCCTCTTACTAGTTATCTGAAAATTTGATAAAATTTTTTACTAGGAGTGCAGTGAAATATTATAGATGAAATGAAGATGGCTGATTAAATTTAACATACTGCTTGAGACAGAGCCCGGTGTGACACTCAGGATATGTCTACACTGCAATTGGAGATGCAGTTACAGCTCATGTAGGCATATCTGAACTACCTTTAATCTAGCTAGAGCAGCTAAAAATAGCAATGAAGATGCAGTGGCACGGCCCACAGCATAGGCTATACAAGTCTGCCCGGAACTCTGGTACATACTTGCATTGCTAACCCATGTCAGGATCCAGGCTGCTACATCTTCACGGCTGCTTTAGCTGCACTTTATAGCTAGTGCAGGTGTGCCTACCTGAACTGCAGCTACACCACTGACTGCAGTGTAGACATACACTTAGTCACATCAGTGATGCTAGAAATTCACCATGGACCTGACTTAAAGCTCATTAAGTCAATGGAAAGACTGCCATTGATCTCAGTGGGCTTCGGATAAGGGCCTATGTAAATATAGTTTTGGTTAGCTCAAAATATTGTGACAGGTTTAGTTTGTGGAAAGTGGAATATAATTTAGTTTGATTTTTATATATATTAAAAATATATGTATATTATATATTTTATATATATATATTAAGCCACAAAATGAAACTCTTCACTTAAAAATAATACTATTCCTTTAAACAACTGTAATGCATTTCTGAGAAGTATTCCCACAGATCTCTACAAATAAAACAAGAGCTCAACATAGTTAACAGTTTATTGTCATTCTTACATAAAGGCTTATGTATGTTTTACTAAAAATATTTGAATATTTTGATGCCCACTTGTGATCAAACATACAGTAGCATTTTCAAGAGAATATGTATGAACAGCTGGCATGGGTGACTCATAAAGAGATTAAGAAAGTATGAAGAGTTCTGTTTTTAGGTTTGCCAATTACATATTGTATATCCACATTTTGTTTTGTGTGTGTTTTTTTAAATGTAGATAGTGAAGAAGATTAACAGTCTGAGTTTAGGTCAGTAGTGAATCTAAATGTCACTGGCAAAATATTTCATGCATCTTATTCTGGCTGAGAAAGAGACTTTGATAAGAATAGTATGAGCAGATTGGGAGGTGGGGAGAGAGACCTTGAGTAAATCATTGTACATCACTGAGAAATATGTAGGCAACTATAATATAAAAATTGATGATAAAAATTACAAATAAGTGTATGACAAAACAAGGTTTTTCATCATTCATACCCTAAAAACTGCTTAATCACTGACAGATCAACATCAGAGACTTAGCAGGGGAGGTCAGCAGAAAGTCCAAGAATGTATCAGCATAATGGATCTTTCAAATCCTAACGATGATGATGATGATGTTAAATAAAGCACTTTATTGATGTTAATGAGGTAGCCTCACAATAACCTTGTAAGGAAGGTAGTTGTTATTAACCCCATTTTACAAATGAGGAAATAGAGGCACAGAGATTAAGGGCCTAAATTTCAAAAGGGCAAAAGTCCAAGAGCTTGTACAAAAATACAAAAATATATGTAATGCTTTAGTTGTATTGAATCTTCTTAATCTTTTCGTAATATATTGCATGTGATAGATGCATATACCATGAATATTGTTCCTATATGTATTTCATATGAAACAGTCCTGCAAATTAAATAAAACTGTGCAAGTCTCACATGACGTAGTGCAATTTTTTCTTGCAAATATTATATAGCTGATGATTCAGTCAAGTCCTCACTTTCTTCTGAAGCAGGTGAGCATTGAACTTTCAGATGCGTCTGGCATTTCCTTTCCTATAGTGGCCCATTCGTATAAGAAGTTTCTGTGTTGCTATTGGGTAGTTTCAGAGAGGGCTTTGTGCCATCACAGTCTATCTGTTCTCCTATCTATACACTTCATCGGACTAAAGAAACATGGTGATCTTTTCAGCCAGGCGCAGGGAAAAGGGTGTATAGGGTGCCAAGGCAATAGTTGTCATATGATTACAATGTTCTGACAGCTCGTGAGTGCCTTGGCACAGAAAACCACCCTGAGAGAGAGACATGCTTCCTGGGTACCACCTCCTTCCTGGGTACCACCTCCTTTCAGGTTGACTCTTCCTTTTGAATGATTGCCAGTGCCACCCTTATGGAGGCTTTTTCTCTCCATGCATTGTGCATTCTATGCTTGGGTCAGTCTTGTCTTCTTTGGCCAGGCATCCTCTCTCTCCTTCAGATCGATCTCTCCTTTAAAATCCACCTCTTCAAGCAATCCCTCATACATTCTTCTTCTCATCCATAATCCCAACACTCTCCCGCTCCTGAACTATTATCCCTAGTCTTGTCTTATTTAGGCTCTTTGCTCCAAATAATTTAGTGCCTACCTTATTTATTTCTGGCAAGCACCATTTAAATTAACAGTGCTTCAGTCTATATTCATCATTCTGTTCTTCTGGAGATTTAGCTTTCCATGTATCAGTTGCCGAGTGGGTTTTTCCTAACTCTTTTCTTTTGTTTGTTTCTACCTCTTCTTTCTCAGTTCTTACTTCTCTCCACTGTCAAGTATCAGGGGGTAGCTGTGTTAAGCTGTATCCACAAAAACAACAAGGAGTCCGGTGGCACCTTAAAGACTAACAGATTTATTTGGGCATAAGCTTTCATGGGTAAAAACCCTCACTTCTTCAGATGCATGGAGTGACACTTAGAGATGCAGGCATTATATAATGACACATGAAGAGAAGGGAGTACCTCACAAGTAGAGAACCAATGTTGACAGGGCCAGTGGCTGGCTCATTACAAAAGCAGCTTTGCCTCTCCTGGAATTGACACCTCCTCATCTATTATTGGGAGTGGACTACATCCACCCTATCAAATTGGCCTGTCAACACTGGTTCTCCACTTGTGAGGTAACTCCCTTCTCTTCATGTGTCATTATATAATGCCTGCATCTGTAACTTTCACTCCATGCATCTGAAGAAGTGAGGTTTTTTTTACCCACAAAAGCTTATGCCGAAATAAATCTTAGTCTTTAAGGTGCCACTGGATTCCTTTTTGTTTTTCTCTCCCCTGTTTTCCTTGTCTTTTACTCATCTTATTTTTCTTCTCTCCCTCTAGTCCTTTTTCATAATTATTTTTTTCTCTTCTTCCCCATATACCTATCCTATTTTCTCTCCTACTGTCCCATGCGGTTTTTCTTTTTTTCTCCAGTCTTCATTTAGATTTTTTCCCTTCTTTTTCTAGTTCCTTGCATGTAGGTTATGGTATTAACTACGAGGAAAAGTCAGTATAATTAAGCTTATAGTTAAATGTGCTGATCATTGCCTCTACTGATTACTGAAGTTATCTCACCTCACTGCAGCATGTTATAATTTATATGGGGATGTGTACTTCAGTAAAAGGGACTGATCAAATCATTCTTCACTATAGCAGGAGGGCTGATGAGCATGTGACAAGGAGAATGCTGTTTATACAGGAAATTCACTGCCTTAAAGGAGAAATTAGTGTCCAGAAGTGCAAGAATTCTGTAAAATTTAAAATAAGAACATAACTTGATTCAGAACATGACTGACTTACCCCGATAATTTTTTTCACTTTTTTTTAAAGAACAATGAAAAAGTTAGATATTTTGTGATTTTTTTTTCTAACACATTTTGTTATTTTCAGGTACTAAAGAGAATGCTAATGTCAAAGAAACTCTGCAAAAACTGTGGACTTTGATTGAATCAAATATTGAACAGTGTGGTGTAACTCTACTGAGGTATTATGTAATAAATGAAAAATTTATATTGCAGTCTGTTCCACAGAATTCTTTGTATAACCATACAGTCAATGTTTTATCAGAATAAATATGATGAAAGAACGACTTGTTTTGAAATTTTGAAAATGTTGTTAAACATACAAAGCATTTGAGATTTTCAAAGACACATTTGAAATGTAGGATACTTGGGTTTGTTTTAAAGTGTTTCTTGTTCAAAGAAGTGTTTTAAAGGTAAAATTAAGCTTTTAATCTTCAAATGGGGCCTCAGAAGAAAAACTACAAGATGGCAGCATGATGGGAGGGAAATGAAACTACACTGGATGATTAGAAATTGTAAAGAAGTTTTGTAAAAGCAATGAAATGTTGGGTTGCTACGTGCAGTTGGTCTTTGGCTTCGTGCCACTCAGGAGATATGCCATAATCACAGTATGAACACAGATGTGACCTATTGGTCATTAGGAGAGACTGAACCCAGGACTTCTAGCTTCAAAGCACAGACTTTGTCACTTGAGGTAAAGGAGTATCATCATTAACTGTTAGCAGTAGTAGGTTGTTATCCTTTCATGTGGACCAGCCAGTAGGGAAGGACATATAACTCACACTGTACCAATGGGTCATATATACCCTAGTGTTCTTCCTTACATGTGGAAATTGAAGTCAAGATCTAGGTCTTCTCCTTATTAGGTTTAAGTATTCATCTCTTTTTTATTTTTGTTTTTTGTTTTTCAGAGAAATGTTTAAAAGCAACTGTAAGTCTATCAAAAAATACCCCTGCTATGAAGATGAATGGGCTAAAACAACTTTTGCTGATTATGCTGTAACATATTTTGATCAGCCACCAAATTTTTGGTTTGTGGTTTTTAGGTGAGTTTCAAATATTCTTATGTGGAAATAATTTAGTATGGAGAAGCAGTAGCCTCTACACATTCAAAGTTGCAGTCAGCTTTCAATATAAAGCCCTATTTTACCTCACCCAAAACTCTGTTTTGGAAAATTGGATGGGCATGAAATTGCCAAAGTTAGTCTGAAGGCAATGGAGAATGTCTGTTTAAGTTTGAAAACAATTCATTTAACTGGTTTTGAATTACAGATAAAAAAATACTCTGACTCGGGTATCTCAGTTTTTGGATGTCCAACTTGAGGCACCATAAAGGGGCCTAATTTTTAGATGGAAGTACTCAGCGATTTTGGGAAAATCATACCTCTCAAGGTGTCAAAAGTTGGGTATCCAAAATCACTAATCAGTTATTTGAATTTTGGCCACATTATTAAATGAATTCAGATTTTTTAAAAATAAAATGACTATTTTGATAGTAGCAGTAATGTTATTTTAAAACTTCTGTGAAAGTACAAACAATAGAGAGTAAAAATTAATCAACTATGACAGTGTTTCCCAAACTTGGGACGCCGCTTGTGTAGGTAAAGCCCCTAGCGGGCCGGGCCGGTTTGTTTACCTGCCGCGTCCACCAGTCTGGCCGATCGCAGCTCCCACTGGCCGCGGTTCGCTGCTCCAGGCCAATGGGAGCTGCTGGAAGCAGCACGGGCCGAGGGAC